AGGGAAAATAAAAAAAAGACTTCATCTTTTATTTGAGTGAGTAACCTAAAACTGTTTGCCTTTGATGATTATTGTGTTTCTTGATATAAAAAGAAATATTCATGTCCACGTTTTAAACTTTTACATACCTAGCAGAAATTTTATTAATTAGCAGATTTGTTTGGCTTAATCAGTTCACTGCAAGCGAAATAAGTTTGGCTTGCAGTCTTTTAATACAATTCATAAACTTCGCTCATTTTTGAAGAGTTGGAATAAAACCAAAATCATATTTCTTGATCAGAATTCCTTTGTAATTATAAAATATCCAAATGTTACAAATATCCACCTCTAGTTCTTGGATTTTCCAGAAAATTTGACTGTGGAAACCTGACATTGTTAAAATTGACGTGCTTTTCATTCCAATGCATTGTTTTCTCCCATTAGCTTAACAGGATAAAGAAGAAAAAATTAGATAATGCTTATGAATAATTCAAAATAAAAGGTAGATGATGCTCATGAAAATGATTCATAAACTTAAAAATTTCTTTAGCCCTTTTTTTTTTTTTTTTTTTTTCTTTTAGGAGGAAAGTCAGTTGACCCTTTTTTTGATTAGAGTTTAATTTCTTTTATTTACGAAGCTCATCAGACTGGAATTGTTTGCTAAGTCTTTCCTTTTAGCAGCAGTATTTATTCCTGCCATACATTAGGCCATTTTTTTACTTATTTTTTAGTATTAAATTTAGTTTAATATAAACTGACCACAGAAATAAAATAAGAAATTAATAATGCCAAGTTTAAGTTACAGGGCACTTTTTTTAACCTTGAAAAATTGAAAAATAAATTTGGCTTGCAGTCTTTTTATGAGTTATTAAAAATTTTTAATGATTAGCTAGCAAAATTATTAAATTAGAATTTTATTTTTGTTTGTAAATCATACAATAAACTGAATGTTAAAAACATCTTTAGCAGTGTATTTTCTAATTCTTTTAATTTTTTTTTATTTTTAAAATTATACTACCTTATATAATAGAATTTCAGTTATCCAAAACAATTAAAACTAGGAGTGGCTTAGGTAATTGTTGTTTTCAAAAAATGACTTTAATATTAATTAATAGTTTTTGAGACTAGGCTTATTTTGGCAATAGTTACTGTACTTTTATTACCTAAGGATAACTGAAGCAGATAGCCTTCAAGTGCTTTGCCATAATTAAATAAATCAAACCAACCTAAGAATAATTAAGAATTTCATTAAGCATCTCATAATATTTTTGATCATATTAATAACATTAAATATAAATTAAGGCACAAAATCCTGTTAATTAAAACCACTAATAGTAGTTTAAAGGTAATGCTTCCCCCCCCCCCAGTGGTATTATCAGGGTTGCCACGCTACCTGGAGAACCGGGAAAAGTCAGGGAATTCGAAAATTGACCAAAATATTCAGGGAAAAGTCAGGGAATTTTAAGTATTTTTGTCAAAATCTGGAAAAGTCAGGGAAGTTCATACAACGATCCCGCCAAAAAAAGCGATTTTTGCGCCGACGTCGGAAGAGGTAACTTTTTTCGCGAATTATGTATCACGTGAGTGTCATTCGGGTAGCTGGCATAGAGCCAATTTTCGCAGTTCCAATTTGATTGTCTTTTAGAAAGGCAAAGCAACTTTCCCGCAACTTTTGGTTTCCAATATTTTCGAGAATCGCATGTGCAATGCATGAACTAAAGAAAGTACCTGTTCTCGTATAAAACAAAATGGGTTTAATCCTAGTATACGGTACCATGGAGGTTAGAATCAAAGAATATGTATTGTAAAGAAGGAAAACCTCTCTGCAACAGACGTGGCTGTGGCTCTGTTCCATCATAGAGGGAAAACAGCTGTGCATGTCTGATATATCTGTCGCCAAAGCTCGAAACCGGTGTCGAAGTTCGAAGGTCACGTTATCAAGAGTTCATAAAATGAATATCGTTTAAAATTTCTTTAACCACTTGCGCTAAAAAGACGTGCCACGCACGTCAAGATGCTTTTGTCTCAAACCGCGAGCGACGTGAACACCACGTCGATAAGCATTTATCGCAAAAATGAAAATAACGTGGTGTACACGTCGCCTAACAACGAGATTGTTTATTTCTCGAGTTACAGCTCTGGATTGCACTCGCAGATGCGGAGTGGCGTAAATGAGACACTTTACGGCTTGTTATATTGTAGCGCACGGCACCTTAACCGTGAAGTTTAGTCTTAGCTTAAGTGGTTAAACTCTAAAGGAAAAGAAAATATTTTTTGGCGCAAGTAAATTAATTCATGGATTAGTTATTTTCAGGGGAAAAAAAAACTACGAAAATCCGTTTTTAAAATTATTGCGAAAAATCCAAGAAAAAAAAATCTTTTTAAACTTTTTTTTTTTTTTTTTTTTTTTTTTTTTTTAATAATAAATACCTTGCCTTTTTGCAGTAAAATAAAAAAAATAGTATCAGTCATCTAGGCTACCCATGTAATATAACTACATTCGCTAAAATATCGTTGATTATTCTAATTCAATTTTTAAGTAATTATTTTTATGTTATTCATATAATTTAATGTTGCTTCTTCCCTCCAAATTTATTTATTATTAGTAAATAATATTTCCAAATTTCAGGAAATTTTCTCTGGCATAATCCTGAAATTAATTATAGCAGTATGATGACATACCATCACGAAATTTAATGCACATATTTTTCCTTATATATGCTACGAAATAAATATAAAATAGCTCAATTTATTAAAATAGATTTCTTTCTTTCGTTTAGCTGCAGAATGTCTGCAAAAAAAGCCTTATTTTATTCCAGATTGGGAAGATTCTAATCTCAATCTTCAGTGGAGAAAACAACAACTATTATAATTATATTTGTGTTTTCAAGTGTTAAGGTGCCTTTTAAGAACATCCTCACGCAAATTAAATTTACCTAAAATCTAACCTAACTATTTAGCATTGCGTTGTGATTTATAAGGACCGGATTAGCCTCGTGTTGAACTGGTGATGATCATGAGTAATAATTAAATAAAACATACATTTGTTATCCAATATATATATCTTAACTTTTATTAAGTTTCTTAAGTGGAAAACTAAACAAAATTATCAAACAAAGTATACCAAGTATAATTAAGAATAAATGTCCTCTGGGAGTTATTGAATAATTAAGTGAATTTGCTACACAATACAAGTAATACCATAATTAATTTACCTCTTAGCACAGCCAACGTACATTACGCGGATAGACTGGAATTTTCTTGAAACACACCTGGAAAACCTGGAAAAGTCAGGGAATTTCATTCTCCTGTTTGAGTGGCAACCTTGTATTATTGGGAATGTGCTATATCACATAACACTTCTAAAATTAATAGATTCTTTGCATTATACTCAGTTTATGTTTGATAGTAATCCATCATAAGGTGAAGTGCATTGTAAGCTTTGGAATGACACATAGCTATTCAGAAAGGAAAAGAAAAGTTTTCATTTTCTTCATATAGCACTCTCAAAGTTTTGAGGACTAGCAAAATTTTTACATCAAACTTTTACATGTACTTTTACATTAGATTTGGTATAAATACTCTTGGCACAATAAGCTACATCATTCCTTTTCCTATCTTTGCCACTGCTAAGATATTCCCACTGCTCTGGCTGTCTTTTTATTATTCTAAAATGACATCATATCCCTGTTAATCTGTGTATATAAGAAATTATCGTAATTCATTACGATTGGATAAATATCTACTTAAGATGGTTTTAGGTGTGTGAAAGTCAAGATTGGGACTTTTTCAAATTTAATTTGTGTCGACGTCATCTGTTAGTCTTTCCACTTGACTATGCATTAAAAATATGACATATATATGTGTGTGTGTGTGTGTAAAATGAAAAAATACAGAGTCAAAAGCAGTTCAAAACCAAATCCAGTTGCACACTGAAAGCAGCAGCAAGTGGTCATAATAATGCAGATCAAATTAAAAAATAATATGTTTAAAATTCATCCCATATTCAATTTTGAACAAACATATGCAAAAAATGAAGGAACCAAAAACCAGAAGCACAGTGGCAAACTGCAAGAAAATGAGGCCAGAACATGCCAAAACCAAAAATGAGGGGGGAAAAAAGAAATTTATATCTATCACCACATCATCATCAGGTGGTTTGTGGAATGAAAGAAGTAAATAATAGGTCTGTTTTTGAACCAATAAAGACACAAATTAAAATTTTAAAACTTAAAATAATCTTAGAAAAAACAAAGTAATCTGTGTCTGTCAATCCAACCCTATAGGCCAAAGTAAGCTATTCAACTGATATTTCTTTTAATAAATTCAAATTTCAATGCTAAGAACTTTGTGAAAGCTGGTAGTTGTGCTATTAATCCAACACCACATGCACACAATATAATGGTAGTTTTATCGTAAGGATTCAATTTAGGAAAAATTATTCTGTTTCTGTAAACAATACATTTATTTATTTTATCTAGTTTTTCTTCCATTAGAGACCATAAATGTTATTTAAAAAGTAATTCTGTAGGTGAATGTCCAATTTTTATTTATATATCTATATTTACATAAAATATTTCAATGCTTTTTTTTTTCCCCCAAAAGGTTCTTAATTTCTTCAAAAAAAAAGTCTGTATCATTTATCCCTTTTCTCCCAACAATATTTCCCTTTGTATTGAAATTTTCTTGATGTATAAATATATTTAAAAATAGAATAATTTTGTCTTCATTAAATCCTGATTAAAGCATTTCTAAAGTATAATTTCTCCATGTGTCATGTAAGTATTAGAAGAGGAAAATGTAAATAAAATATAGAAAGACATGACCTATAACCCACAAAATTTTCTAATCCATACAACTCTTGATCTTGAGGTGTGTGAATCATCAGATTTCAACTGTGTAGGAAATCTGATAATTCACACACCTGGAGTTAAAATATAAAAGTCTGTGTTAGATATATTATCTTATTAATAATCATAACAATAAAGAAAAATTTCAAGACTGTTAAATATTTATTCTAGGGGTTAAAACCAGCAATTCAAGCTATTACTGACTCAGGAAGTGGGATGAATCCACAGCAGGAAGGAACTATGATTTATCTGTCAATTCCAAAGTAAGAATTATTATAATTTTGCTTTATCTGTTAATTAATCATTTTTATTGTGTAGAATATTTGCTGAAATATAATGATTAAAGTTTATATTTCACTCAATAGTTTGTAAATATTTACACCATGTTTTCATAATGAAGAAAATGTTGGCACTGTGAGATTTCAGACATCTTCAGTTCTATCAATATTAATTAACTATAAAACTTACCTAGAATTGGAATGTTATTGGATATTATTAAAAAAAGCACATTTAAGTAAATATGTTACACTTTTATTTATGTTTAATTATGTTACACACTGTTTACTTTGAATGGAATTGTGTAGAATTAACCCTTTGCGGCACACCTAAAAATTTCCTTCTGTACGCACAGAAAAATTGAATGAAAAAGGATTTATAGATTACTATAGGTTACTCTGAACCTTCTTTATTTATAGTAGATGGCAGCTCAGCACAAATCAGTCCATATATTTTAGCCATGTTTAGTTTTTTAAGATCGTCATTTTTCAAAGAAATCTTCCAGATTTTTTTTAGGGTATAAAGAGAATTGTTTGAAAGGAAATTTCTCTGTAATTTTTTTGGCTGTATACTAATCCCCTTATTCTATATTAGTTTTAAATTTTTACTTCTTGCCTAAAATCAAACGGCGAACCCTAAGTGTGTCCAGACTGGGCAAGGACAGCTGAGAATCTGTATTCTTTGTTTCTCTGCATCTCATCGGTCAGTTCATTGATAACAATGCTCGTTTCAGCACTCTTTTCAAAGCTCTATTCAATCAGTGTGCCCACTTTGGGCACAGTGGGCACACCCACAGAATTAAACGATAAGTGCTATCGTCACAAAATTTTACTTGTGTAATTCTCTAGGCCTAATTAGACTGCCTACCCCCCTTTTTTTATCAAAACTCCAACTTTAAAAGGTAGCATGCCAGAAAGGGTTAATTGATTTTCTGATGTTTTGTGATGCTTCATAAGAAATGCATTCATTTTATCTTTACTTTAATAAAGTTGTACATAAAATTATGGGAATGATATATTGATTAAATTTATATAAACTTTTTACGAAATGCCCACTTAAGTCCGGTACCACCCATTTAACTACTGAACAGCTGCAGCTATAATCATAAAAGTCATCTAGGTATAGTAAAATGGCTATGCGCTACTAGATGAGACCACTTAAAACACCATCTGGTGGTGGGAAATGGTGGAGTTATCTCAAAAATGGTACGAGGTCAGAAGAAAAAGTGAATTATAAAGTTGTAGAACATCATCGATTTAGTACAAAAAGATACCTTGTGGACATGAATGCTGAAAGCGCACATTTGTTTCTTCACAATTTCTAAAACTGTGACGAAAAACTTGAACAAAAAGAGAAAAGATTATTTTTCAAACGAAAAACGAGCCCACATTGCAGCCTAGTGGTATCACTTGTAATTCACAATCCTGAAGTGTGTGGCTCAAACCCTACAGAGTGCACCCTTGTACTGGTTGTCTTTACAAATAGAGTAGACATTATGCAGATAGTGCACAATCATGTCACAAAACACGTCAACTCAACGCAATTGGAGCTTGGTATGTAAAATTTATGCATTATGCAAAAAGTGGATGTAATGTCACACCTGTCACCTGAGGCAGTTAGAAAAGAGATCTGTCATCAAGGTTGTATGTAGATGATCATGATCATGGAGCGTGTTTCAAAAAAGATTGTTGTGAGATAGTTATACTTTAGGATGAATGTGGATGCAAGATTGGCAGTGCGATTGTGTTGGCAGTTGTTTCCTGCAGGTCCGCATCCTTCACACAAAATTATCCTATAGGTTGTGAAACATTCAATGGAGACAGGCTGCTGACTAGCCGACTTCAATCTGGTAAACCAGCTAAGGTAGGGCGGAAAGTTCAACTGGAAGATGTATTATCATACACCATCAAACATCCTAACAACAGCATCAGAAAATCCTAAACGAATTAGGTGTTTATCCATACTGGCTAATACCTCATTAGGCATAACTGGAAGGGGATGCCGAGAGACATTTCACATAGTGCTAATTTGTCATGAGCCATAAAGAGGTTCAACCACCATTCTTGGCAGATATAATGTGGACAGATTAGGCATGCTTTTCATGGAATGAAATATGCAGTAGGCAAAACACCAATTACTAGGCACTGAAAAATCCATCGTGTTCTGTCGATGTTTGACATCAAATATCATTTTCAATTAATGTTTGCTATATTTACGGCTGCACCATATTTAGAACTTCTGTAAGGCTTGTAATACCCGATTTTGTTGAAAACTTGTTGTAGCTTTAATTCCAGAATGGATGGATGCCCAGCAGCAGCCGAGCACTAACATCACTGAACACTGGTAGTTCGGTCTGGGGTTCGAGTACCAGTGAACAGGCTAGCTGCATGAACATTTTTATGGTTTTCCCCTTGTGTAATGTGGATACGAACCAGTTTTCATTAGAAAGTTCTCTGTGAAGGTATCCCTTCATTTAGGGAAAAAGTCCTTGTGTGCTTTCCTGTAATTAAATAAAAAAAACAAAAAAAAGGGGGAATGGATGATTCCATCATGACGACACACATGCACACAAGACATCACCAGTGAAGCAGTACCTGATGGAGGAATTCGGAGAACGAATAATGGAATATGATGGTTTCGAAGAACGGCCTCCACATTTACCTAACTCAGGGGACTTTTTCCAATGAGTATATCTCATACAGCAGATGTATGCAAATTCTTCGCAAACATTGCAGAACCATCAGTGGCATATTACAGATGCTTGTGCAAACGTATCACCTGCTATGCTACAGCTGTGCAACATGATGTTCTGACAAGGGTTCAGATGTGCATTTCAGCTGATGGAGAGATGTCCAAACATAGAAAATAAAGGTATTTAATGATAACTATTTTTTTTTTTTTTCTAAGATCATTTCGTCACACTGCCATATAGGAAATTACGAATAAACAAATGCACATTTAAAAGGATTTGTTCTTAATATTTATGCCCACGAAGTGTCTTTTTGTACTCAGTCGATGATGCTGTAGAACTTTGTAACGCACTTTTTTCTCCTATCATTTTCAAGAAAGGAATGCTAACTCCACTGTTTTCTATGTGGTGACGTTGTAAGTAGTCTCATTTACAAGACCATAGCCACCTTACTGTTCCTGGACACTTTTTTACGACTGTAGCTGCAGCCATTCGGCAGTTAAATGGGTGGCACCCTGTATTTTATCTAAATTTTAAAATTGCAGGCTATCAAGAGAGCACCGTGAGAATTTGGCTAAGAATGCTAAGGCTTTAGCTGTGAAAGCAAAAGAGGAAGTTAGATCCATACAAAATCAATATGTAAAAGAAGCTAAGAATAAAACAGATTTGTCTGAAGATTTAATATTCAATGCTACCCATCAGGTAAAATAAATTTTTTGAATTAAGTAAATGGTATATTTCTATTCTCAAGTCTCGTAAAACAACTGGAAGCAGTTTTTTAAGTTGGTGAAAATATCCCTTCCACCCCTTTCAATAAATATGAAAAACTGTTTTTTGTGTTGCAGTTTAAATACTAAATTTTTTATAAAATATGTTTTGCAGATTTCATTTTGATGTTTTACAATTTTAAAATTCCACATTTTCTTAGAAAAACATCATTTGAATTACTAATGATCACCATTAAAATTTAATTATCATAAGCAATAATCTCAGTGTCTCATGCTGAAATTTATGTTGCCTTTTTGATAAATTTGATATTTTATTATAGTTTAAAAAAATGTAGTAAAAAAGTTTGTTCTGCCCATGCCATTTCTTTGTATTCAGTAGAAAGTTGATAACATGCTATTTTTAAAATTTTCTTTCTATGTAGTTCCCCCATCTACAAAAATAAAATGTGGGAAATGAATTTTTAGTTCAAAGGGGCTTTGTCCTTGAAGGATTGTTTTCGTGTTGTGATTTTGTGTTGAATCACTATAAATGTCCGTTTCACTTTTCAAACTGTTGCCACCAAATGTTAGAGTCCTGCATTATATTTGAAGAAATTAAATAATGAAAAATCTGCATAAATGTATGTATATTTCTCGCATTTTGATAAAACAATGGTACATAGAGCCATCGAATTTTGAATGACGTAATCCTCCTACGAATATGGCCAAGTGGAAGACCAAATTTGAAATTTAGAATTTGTTTTATTATCGGTTTCATATTTTGTAAAACTTTAATGAATTTTTTAGTAACAAACCCAACGATTTAAAAGCGAGCAATGGCAACACTCCACTGGGGGGGGGCTTTTTATCTCCAGCGGGCTCGGAACTGGGTATCGGTATCGGAAAATCTAAAGATTTGTTCATTTTAAAATTATTTTGAGACATTGCTACTGAACTGAATTTTATGGTTTAAGTTCAAAGAACATGATATTTAATAAATAAAGGTAGCACACAAAACGTTAAAAAGCGGGCTTTGGACGTCGTTGAAAATCTGAAACCCTTCAGATTTTAGCACTGTGTAAACATAAGGTCTTCAATGTTCCTTTGTTTTGTTTGTAGCCAGTTCTCAGAATATTGCTATTTAGCAAAGGATAAAATCTTTTGTTTATAATTTTTACTTAGTTATTGGTTAGTAAACTGCATGTATAACTGCGTAACCACACTTATAATAATTTTGGTCTTTAGTTCAATTTAACATTTTTGAAATTTTTACTGGTAAACTCTTTTTTGAAATATTATACGATATCCTAACGTTTTGAGATTGCATTATTAATAATTTTGTCCTGAGAAAGTCTTGGGTGTCTTTGGAGCCCATTAGCAGCCAAGTGGTGAATTTGCAGAACATTGGTAGTTCGACCTAGGTTTGATTCCAGATGATCGGGTAGCTGCACGAGTGTTTTCATGGTTTTTCTATGTGTAAAGTAGATATAAGTAAGTTTCCCTTAGAAAGCCCTCCAAAGTTTTGCCCAAACCAAACCAAGTATGTGTTTGCCATTGTCTTGTTAGTAAATGGTACGTAGATGGTATGATGGCATATGAATAAAATAGATTTCACAATGTCACCAACATACATTTGAGATATTATACTGCTGTATAGTAAGAAATCTCTATTCCAAGAGATGATCTATGTGCTTTCAGCAACAAGTCTGGAATTGGAAGATAGACCAGTCTTCCTCCATACATGCAGAAGTTATGTGCTTTGAAAAAAAAAAAGAAAAGAAACTTTGATTCCTTGCAAAAGATATGCTTTCAATTGTACATTATCCAGAATGACAGAACTCAATCAGGTGACTGTCTCTCTTTTAGAAGGTAAATGATGTTCTTTGTTATGGATGTAATCACAGTATCTGCCTAGTCATCTTCAAATGGTATCCCCTTGATACTACATTTTGTTGCCCAACCAAAATGGTGGCAGATATATTTGATGGAACAACCACTTCTCACAGGCTTATGATGCTACTTTTCTCTAAATCAGGCAATTGTTTCTAATGCTGTAAAACATATTTCAAAGGCGTCTTTACACAATCTGCTATGTCAAAGCAAAAAAGTCCGTTAAAAGTTTTTCATGGTTAAAGACAATTCGTTATGTTGCAGAATATGCTTGTCGAATAGGTTTCAAAGGAACCATATCACTTTTGTGCTAGATTGTTGCATAAATTTTTGTGTTTCTTCATAAGAAATCTTTTCAATGGATGCTGTAACATTATAAAATTTTATTACAGATACTTATTTTTATAATTTTATTACACATATTAGTTCAGCTTAAGATATAAATATGAAATAATTCTTTTTTCCCTTTTTATTTAAATAGATTATGGCAGTAGCTGAGAAGTGCACCACAGAATTGGAAAAAATAATGAAACTGAAGCAAAAGGAACTTCTTGGTGAAAGCTGAAATCCACAAATTTTCTTTCTTGTATATTTGTTAAAATTTTTAGAATAAATTGCTTAGTGTTATATTTTGTATTTGAATATGATATAAAAACCATCCTAGGTGCAAGTAATGAGCATCAAGTTTAAGTTATTAGTTCAACTTTTGAACTAATAACTTAAACTAACTTTTATTTGGCATTAGTTTCAAATTAAAGTTTTTCACTCATGCTGTTGAACGAATCTCTGAACACAGACATTGATCAGGGAAACTTATTTCTCCTTATAGTAGTGCCAGCCTTAAAATATGAAAAACCAGGGGGTTCATTCAAAAACCAGAAGTTTCCAGGAGGTTTTTCATGCTGCACAGCAGTGCATTTCAAAAGAATTCATTTGACTTAAATTCACTTTATAATACATGATTAAATTTATTGAACTATTTATAATGTGGTCCTGATGTAAATATATTAATATTTAATGAGATATTTTATGTGTTTGGCAAGTTTCATTTTGTAATTTTGCATTTTTATTCTGAGAAAATCCTAAGTAGGAAGGAAGAGATTTTATTTATCAAAGTACTTTTAAATATGATGAAAATTAAATTAATAATTAATGTGTATAAACTTAGTAATTTACCGTTTATTGATGTAAAACAAAATTAAATAAAAATAACTGGTTAATCATTGATTAAATATTGAAAGTCTTACAAATTTCTAGTGATTAAGACAATTCAAATCAAATCAAAATTTAATAAATTTTGCTGAATATCAGTAGTGTAATAGAATTTGGGCATTAAATTCTGCTGCCCAATGTCAGTTCTAAATTCTAAAAATTTTGCCAATTCTAAACTTTGTTGCTAAATGTATAATTTCATATTATTTCTCAATACTCATAATAGTAAAGAAATGAAATTAGCATCTTCTATAAATTCTAAATACGTGTAATTCTTTAGAATAACAGAAATCTTGAATTAAATCTGAATTCTAAAATGTAGAGGAAACTTATTGAGAAAGAAATTGATTACATAAAGAGAAGGAAAACTCTTTTGCAAAGGTATATTTTTAGAGACATGAGGTATTTTTTTGGAAACATTGGAAACAGGCAAGATGAAAAATGAGCAATTGCTTTCATGGGGAATTGAACTACGGACTTCTGGAATAGTGGAATTAGTGTGCCAGCGTGCAGAACCACGAAGGCACACTAGGAAGGCGAGAGAAATACCTTATATACCCCCCTTTTATAGGGCAACTGGGGATTTTAGGGGACCCACTTGCCAAATCCTGGGTGAGGAGAATCATCATCCAACACCCTTTTAGTTTGGCCATCACTGTAGAAACATTATGTATTTTTTTAGAAGCAGGCAAAATGAAAAATGAGCAAACGCCTTCGCCGGGAATCAAACCATGGACCTCTGGGAATACCGGCCCAGCGTGCAGAACCACCACACCACGAAGACATGCTAGGAAAGCGGGAGAAGTACCTTATATATTATTAAAATGTTAACAAATTAGGGGATGAAGCAGAGACTAATGGAAACATTGATTTGTTTAATGAAATAAAAAAGGTGTTGAAGAGAAGAAAATTGATGCAAATTATCTAAAATATCTTGAAAATTTTCAAATTAAAAAGAGATGCATAAATATTTTGCATGCTGTTGCTGTGACACATACATGTTTTATAGCTTTTCTTGTGTAATTATCTGTTATTGTAAACTATAAAATGTTCTAAAATTTTAATTTTAATAGAGCTTTTTCAACAGATATTTTTTTAGAAATTAAAAAATAATAATAATAATGATCATGTAAATCTATAATGACTAAGAGTTGTATTTAATTATTTGTAATTAATTGCTTACCCTTAGAAGTTATCTCTACATGTTAAAGTGAATGATCACCTTTCCTTTATCCTTACTATGGATACCAGATGCAACACAAAAATGTAAAAACTAACATAAAACTTCATTCCTTACAGCTAATGAAATTTAAAATAAAACAATTTATCACCTCTGGTGCTTCAGCAGCTTATTGGAACTTTATATTAATTACTGTGTACTAATAGGATTATAACATAAACTACACAAAGCTGCAACACTGACTGGGTCACACAGATGAAGTGTAACTAACTTTCAACACATACCAATCTTACCAATGTCAAGCATTCATGTCGTCTGATCAGCGTCTCTCTCTCTCTCAGAAAGCAATAGCACTGGCAACAGCCAGGCTTTTGCTACGAACCATGCTGGCTATGATTTTACTTTGCATTTCAACGTATGCCTCTTGACATAAAATTTGGGTAAACCTCTGGACTTCAAACTTCCGCAATATCACACCTAAATATTTTAAATTCATTAAAAAAAAATTAATCATTCAGCTTTTTTTTTTAATTTGGTGGCAACAATCTTAGGAAAATATGCAGGCAAACAATAGCCTAGAAATGGCTCTGCAAGTACATGATGCAACAAGGCATAAAAGAAAGAATCAATATAAAATTGTTAGTAAAACTTAAACATCACTAATCTTCTTTAATATGTGTAGGACTATTATAAGAGTAAAATATAAATAATGTAAGAGTAAATTTTGAAGGAATTTTGTTGTAATGAGTTTGTACTATAGAAAAATTTGATTTAATATACTGTCAGTAGTTAGGAGCTTTTCAAACCAAATGTAACTGTAATGGAAGGGTTGCTTCAAACAGTGACTGTACTAACATTTCCAACATCAAAATTTGAACCGATATAAATATTCATCTAAATCAGAAAAAAGATGAACAACAATCAACTATTTTACATAAACATAGCAAGTTTCCTGAAAAATGAAGGAACCCCCAAGCATGCCTTTTTAAAAACTGAGTGAATCCTGTTTATGCAATATTTTGATGGTTACAGAAACTTTCCATATATGGGATAGTTTAGCAGCATTTTATCTAGAAATATATCATAAATGATGAAGCCCTTTCAGGAGCTTTTATATGCAAGACAAAGTTCGAAATCCGGATGTCCAGTTTCCAGAATGATCTAAAACAGTGCTCCGCAACCTTTCCTCACCTGCGACGCACAAAAAAATCTTTCTGGAATTTCGTGGCACACCAAAGAGTTCCGAGTTATCAAGGAAGTGCTGAAAAATTCAAATGCTAACACACTTACAATCACACAACAGTGAAATATATAAAAACATTTAAAATAGACATTATTAAGGGAAAAAATTGTCATTGTATATTAAATACGTGATAAAAAATTGCAAAATGTCAAATACATGTATTTGATTGTGGCACACCTATATCCTACTCATGGCACACCAGTGTGTCGCGGCACACAGGTTGCGGAGCACTGATCTAAAAGACCAGACTTTTGGATCACTAGTATATACTTTTTTTTAATGCTTTATGTGTGCGCATTTGGTATTTTTTCATAATAAAACATACAAAGAGTCACAATGATTCTTAATTCCACTTCGACAATGACCCCAACCTAGCAAATCATTATTTATTTATTTGCTTTCATCATGTCATGACTATAAACACACTGCAGCTTAAAAAATGATTCATGCAATGATGTCCAGGTTTTTGTTTTTTTCTTCCGAATAATACCAAAGGCCATGATCACCTTTTATGTTGACATTATGCTTGCTGATGATTACAGACATCGACTGTGAAGTGTTGAATGTTATTGACGAGAAGAAATTTAACCAAAACTTCTTTCTATATGCATAAAACAGGTTTTGTAAATTATATTCATAGGCCAAAAGATTGCATTTAGTGCTGTTTGAACTAAGAATAACTCATTTGTTAATCAAATAAGCCCAAGATCAGAGCCAGAATTTAGGGAAGACAAAATTTTTAGAATTTAGAGAAGCACCAAGGAACAAAATTATAAGTGGTGGTAAAAATCTTTGGAATTTAAGGAGGCACTAGGACACCAAATTTATAGAATTTAGGGAAGCATTTGGCAGCAGAATTCCGGACCCTCTTAGACCGCATCAATCTGGAAAATATCTAGTGCCAGACATGGATTCGGGACTCAACTAAGCAGTAACATGTACAGGAAAGAGGCCAAAGTAATAAGTAACTAATATAATTCATGCAAAAGAAACAAGGCAAAATTTAATGGAACAACATGTCTTTAGTCACCATGGTCGATAGTGTATAACGGACACCAGCTACACTTCTGATGATAGTTGTCGATTTGAAAGCAAAATTTTCCAATTAAACAGAATTTGTAAAGAAATGTGGAAAAGTGATTATAAATGAAGTTAATGTAACAGAAGTTTTTCAATGCGATGGCAATGCCCGAGTCATAAATCAAATAGCAGATGGCGAAATCTGTATTAGGGTTCTAAATCCAGAAAATATCGCTACCGAAGTGAAGATAGTGACACAGAGGTTGCTGCGAACAAAAAATTTTGATTTATAATTTAGTGAGAAGTCTTGATGTGCCAGTTACAAGACTTGAACATTGGAACTTTGTAACTAAACAGGAAATTATGTCTATCTATTGAATAAAATAGAAATAGTGCGAACGAAGGAAATCAAACTTACATTGAATGAAATGTTTAATAAAACAGCTATTATCCATCACACAATAAGTGTTTCTTTTATGCGGAAGTGTCCCCTTTTTTTATTTGTATGGAACTGTTGTATGTCAAAATACTATCAAAGTGCTGTATTTGGAGACCGAAGCCTGGGTTAAGTTTGATTCTATTTGTAATATTTAAAAAATTTTTATGTTTTTCACTTCAGAGTTAATTTCTTGAGAATAAATCTATTTAAAAGAATTTATTTTTGGTTTATATGTGGTTAAAAAATGGAGTAAAAAAAAAAGGATTCAAAAGAAATGTGTTGGGCTTGGATATTAAATTTGTTAAAAACAGTCTTAAAAGGATTTTAAAGATTGAAACAAATTTTATGATTCATCTAAAAAAAAAAAAAAAAAAACGGCCTTCATGTACTGAAAGTTATACCATAATAATGCAGGAGAATGCATTACAGATTACCTTACATTCCATTTTAATGCATTACAGATTTGTTACTTTATAAATGTTTTTATTTTAAGAATAAATTTCATTAATATTTAAAGAATTTTATTTAAAATGTG